CAACACGACCAGCGGCTACAATGAGCAGAACTGCTCGTCTGATAACGCGCGCCATTAACACCAGCAAACAATAACCAAGCCGAAAATTAATTGAAGCCAATGCCGCAGACACCCAACGAGCCCGTTGCCAGCCGGCTTGGGCAGTACGGCAGACCACAAGTCGTGGTAGTGGGAATGACAGCAGTCAATACACTGAGAAAATAATATAGAAGCACGTCAATTTGCTGGCATTTGTCAAAAGTGAACCTTTTCGAATACTCATTCATATATAATTTCTCGTCAACAATTAAATGTAAATGACAAACTATGAAAATGTGAAAAAGATAAGTGGGAATATTTTTGGAGTGATTAAAGCTTTTCTTAAGCAACTAACGCACATAGGAATGAGTCTGAAATAATCGGAGCACAAGTACCAAAAAAATCAGATACTATAGCTTTGTATAACATATCTGAGATTGGAACAATATCTTTTCATCTGAGTTATAAATATTAACATAATTACATGTGCATAGTGGATTTTAAATATCTTTTTAAATGTTGACGGAAAAAGTGGTACAGAAAACCCTCATCATAATAGAACATTTAAAAAGCGAGCTGGTACTTGACGGAAATTAGTCTGCAATGAAAAAAAAATACCTGTCAGCACACAAGTAGTACAATATTCGAGTTTTTTTTTAATTTTTTGTAGAAGAACATTTGAGTCTGCATATAAACATATACTAGTAGATATCTTATGCTATTCCAATTATTTAGAAGAACTCGTTTAGCTTTTAATTGCTCTTCCAAAAATAAATCACTAGGTATGCGATTCATTTTTAAAATGTTTCAAATTTGTTGTCAAAAATGTTGTGTGAGTTTTTCTGAGTGTATTCTCCATCTCAGTTGCAGCCGCAGACAAGCATTGCAGACGCCCTGGCATGTCATTTATTTAGTTTTCTATGCACTGCCTCCGTCTGCAAGGCAGCGAGTACCGTTGCCCGTTGAAATTATTTTCGCACTAGAACTCGTCCTCCTCGACTTCATACTCCACTCCATACACTCCATTCCATTCCACTCTATTCTCAACTCCGTACCCGAGCCCGACTCCGACTCCAACTCCAACTTCAACTGCAACTGGCGTCGACTGCTAGACCGACTGACTGAGTCACTAAAAAGCGGCATTTTATTTGCTTTCAAGACGCGCTGCGCGACTGTGCGCCAAAATTATTACGCGCTATGCAATCATTGTTGTTGTTACTGTAGTTGTTGTTGCTCTGCTCCCGTTTGCAGTGCTTGCTTGGGTTGCTTTCTTTTTCTTTTTTTTGGCATTTAATTGCCACATGCAACACATGTTGCCGACACTGGCGATGGAGATGGAGATGGCGACGCCAACGCGCCAAAATTGCCGCTAGGCGGACGCACAAGCAGACTGACGGACGGATGGACACAGGCAGTGGTGCTGGTGCTGTTGTTGTTGTTGTTGTTGGAGTAACAATAACTACGCGACTCTGGCAAAAAGGACAGCTGGGAAAATTAATAGAAAAATATTTTTTAACAATTTTTAATTTCGGCTTGTGGGCGGCGGTTGTCGCACAACAACAACAACAACCAGAGTGGCAATGGCTGGGATTGTGGCAGTTTTTTTATTTCTTTGCCTGGTCGGTGTAAAATTTCATGGTAATTGTGGTTAATGTTATGGATATTTTATGTGGGAATCGCTGCAAGGGAGAGTGGGAGTGGTGGACAGAACAAAAAAGAAGAAGAGTTGGGAAGCATATCAAAATGATCGTAGAATTGTTGGCAAAGAATAACTTTGCTGCAAGACTGAGTTACTAAGGATTGACTTAAAGGACTACACTCTAAGCAATCTTAAGAAATATGTAGCTATTCAATCAGAGATAATATATTTAATGATTTGTTCAAGACTATTTGAACAGAATTTTATTATTTCTAAGCTGATAGATTCATTTACATATATAATAGGGATCGTTAAATCTATAATTATATGGTGTTAGCTTACTCTTGTGAAATGTTATATAAAAACTGTAACATGTTGACTTCCTGGAAATGGCCAAAAAGTAGACAGTCACTGGCCCGATGGGGAAAGTATTTGTAGCCATTCTGGCAAGCGATGTGCCAATACAAAGCTTTGCTGGTCAGTAATTCTCTAGGAGGTAGCTAAAAATAGACGCTTTTAGTAAGGAAAAGGCAAGTTTGCTTGGAAGTGTTAATAATACACTTTTCTAACCCAAATTTTCACAAATATGTTCGCTGAATTTTTCAAAACTTGAATGAATGGCAACTAGTGATAGCTGCTAAATAAATGGAAGAACGTTTGGAGATTGTTCAGATGTAATGTACAAATATTAATATTATTTAAAGCTTTACTTCTCCTCAATGTAAAAGATCTTAAACTTGAAATAATGGCGCGTTTGATGGTGAATAAAAGAAAAGATAAAGATTAAAAGATTCCATTTAAAATACATTATGTTCAATAAATCTTTGAATACTTATAGCACAGTTCGCAGCTAGGTAGAACTGTAGACCAATCACAGCATTCGCTTTACTTTTTGGAATCTGAGTGCCAATTAGAGTTCAACATTTTATAGATCGCATGCATGTTGTCTTTCAACTTTTGCACTCTGCTGTGACCTTAGCATTGCACTGTCTGTCTGTTGTCAGAGCCATCGTCGTTGTCGTCGTCGTCGCTTCAACGCCCACCCCAAAACCAAAGTTCACTCAAAAGTTCGCGCCTATCCAAAGCGACATTGCTTTTCACGCATCTGTTTTTTCCTTCTTTTTGTTGTTGTTGTTGCTTTCGTCACATAAAAATTTGCATTTGACTGCGGCTACCGGGAGTTGGACTCGGAGTTGGCGTCGGAGTCGGAGTAGACGTAGACTGGCAGCTGGAATTGTGGAACTGCGTCTGCCGCAGCCTGCAGCTGCCTCATTGCAACTGTAAAGGGCATAAAAAAGGCCGACCGGCTGACTCGTGGCTGGCTGACTCGACTGGCCATAAAAACTATGCGCAATGTTCAAGTGGCGGCGGCAAATTTTATGCCTTTTATTTTGGACTGCAATGCCGGCAACAAACACAACGACAACAACAACAATGCTTGCAACGCACATTTGCAACTTTGCTGCCACTTCTTCCACTGTCAAGTTGGCGTAAAATTTTTCATTTCGAATATGAAAGGAAGTGTGGGCGCCAGGCCACAAAGCGGCCTCAACGTTTGTCGCTGCGCGTCTCAGTTTTCTTTTCTTAGCCTTTCTCATTTCATTTTTTCCTCTCATTTTGCATTTTATTAATTGCTCGCCTGCATTTTTCCTTTGTGTTTTCCTTTTGATCTTTTTTAGGCACTTTAGCACACAGAAAAAAGCACAAAAACAAAAACATGAGAAACGTCTGCTAGTTTTGGGTTGCTTTCGGGTCCGTCTATCGTTCCCCGCCATAAGTAAACTATGGTAAACATTAGTCTGATGAATGCTTTAAGTTTCTGCACTTTAAGCCTAACTGCGCAATTTTTCACAATGTGACGCACGTATTTGCAACTTCCGCGCTGCCAGCGCGTTTCCGGTTGCCAAATGGCAACAACAACAGTAGCAGCAGCAGCAGCAAACAACTACAACAACAATTACTACGCAACATTGACACAGCCTGTGCAGCATTTTCACTCAGTTTTTCACGCTCTTTTTATATAAACAGTGTCCATAGCTTAAGAAGAACTTAAGATCTATGAAAAGCACAGCTGATTATTTTCAACAACAATTTCGAAAAGTTGGATTAGAAGAATGGAAAAGAATTATTAATTACTTTAAGAGAGAAAAAGAAGCAAAATATTTTAGTATTTCTTTCGCAATCATCCCTGATTTTCCAGTTGTTTAAATGTCTGAGAAGGATTGTAAAACTGATTGATAGCATAGCTACCTATCTATGCAATTAAATTCTGATAATAGAGCACAACTCTTATTTTGCTGTTTAAAGAAACAAAAGTAACGCCTTTAAATTCCCATATCCATTTTTGCTAATGAACTAATTGCTTTCTTTTTCCGATTATTGTGTAATAATATGAGAAAATATTCCAAATCCCGGTAAAAATAATAAATATAGATCTCTGCGTTTCCAAAGAATCAGAATGTATTGGAAAAAAATAAAAGTTTCTTTCATTATGCAAATGAGAAATTTTTAAAAAAACAAACGTTTATTTTTATCTTAAATAAATTCTCCTAATGAAAAATGCACACGTTTTCTCGCAACTTGGGGCTAATTTTTATATAAATTAAAAAATTGTATTGAATACAAGCCTCCCATACCACATTCTTAATTACTTCTTTTTCGATTTCGCTTCGTCATGCCTAGATATTTGGTAAATCATGTCTACAAACTTCTAATCTTTCAATGCATCTGATGACGACATGTACTTTCCAGCTTTTATGCAGACCGGTTTTCTTTTGACCACTTTCTACTGTAGATGTGTGTATTTTTCGTATTTTGACACGTTTTGGCATGTCTCTGGGAGCGTCGAGGCCAAAGGGATTGGGTATTGGGGTCTGGGCTTCTGGGGGCACAGGCTGACATTTTACATAAATTTTGCTGCTCAACTGAAAATCGTGCCGGGGCTGTTGCCGTGACTTGCTGTCTGACGTTCATGGCTGTTGTCACTGCCTCTGCCGCTGCCATCGCCTGTTTTCATTTGAGTGACAAAAACTGACAGTTTGCAAGGTCACGTCACATTAATTTGCTGACAATGATGTATTTAGAAGTGCAGGCTCGGCTCGGCTCGGCTCCGCTCAGCTCGACTTGCGGGATGGCATTTTTAAAGTGCTCGCCAATTAAGTGGCGAATTTATGAAAAATTTCTAGACGAGTAACTTTAACAAATTCCTTCTCTCTCTCTCTCTCTCTTTCTCTCTACATATATCTTTGCAGTGTAAAATGCGAGCCGGGCGAAAAAATACGTAAACAACATAAACAATAATACTATTTACAGCAGTAGCGGCAATAACACAATCGCTGTCAAAATGCCCGCCATAAAAATTCAACAATTGAATTCGTTTAAATTACAAAAGGAAGTGGCCAAATATTCAAGGAGCCAATGGCCACGCCAACATTTGTGTAATCATTGCTCTGACGAGATTGGGGCAGAAGTTCGTGCCCATGACCAGCACAATCACAATCACCATCGCCATCGACATCGCGAACGCCATCAGCACCTTTGTCCCGGCCATCACCACCACCCCGACCATTATCGTCGGCAGCTGGGTCGTCAGCGGGCATTCGTCGCCTTCATTTACAGTTGCTGGAATTTTGCAACAAATTATTTAAAAAGTTATTGTCGCATTAAGCGTCATGGTGTTAATAACAATAAAACTTTATGCTGGCTGACATTGACTTTGATTTTATTGAGCGGCACAGGATCGGGCAACAGCAGCAGCACCAGCACTAGCACCAGCACCAGCATTAGCAGCAGCAGCATCGGTGGCAGTGGCAGTGGCAGCGGCAGCCTCCTGGCCAACAGTTTTGGCGGCGCTGCTACTTTGGAAATCGGTAAGTGGCTAACGATTTGTTGTTGTCTTACATTGTTCGCATTAGAAATTAGTGCTCGTTTTATTGCTCCGCTCTTTCGATATAGCGGGGGCATAAACAATAGATGTCAATAGCATTGAATTGAAGCACATTGTAAAATCGTGCTACAACAGATATACGAGTCAGCTTTATTCTCTATGGCGTACGTAAAAGGTACGCTTTAGAAAGGTGCTTAATGCTCAAATCCAACTGAAATAAAAAGAATAAGAAACTGAAAACAATTATTCTGTACACATCTTAAGATAAAATATAATACAAAATAAAATAAAAGCTCTGACCCTTGCTAGGACTTGCCTTCAAAACAAAACTATATTTGTAAAGTAGTTGAGTCAATAGTTTGTAATTCTATAGGAAAGTAAAAGTAAAAAGAAATTATTTTATTGATCAAAATAATTTTATTGTTTTTATGGCGCTATGAAAACCTTTTACAAATAATAACAAAGTGTAACAGTTGTTTAAGCAAATGGGATTCAAATATCCATTCTCTACCATGGATTTTTCTAACTTATTCGAAACTGAGAACACATCTTACAAAAAGAATATTTCAACACATTATTTAGGAAATTAAAATAGAATCTATACAATATTTTCACAGCATTTGAATTTTGTTAATTCCTTTTTATCAATTGAAGTAGCGATGAAGAACCTATTTTGATTTGTTTGGAAAGCATGCCTCTTTAATTTTGCAAATAATACGGGTTATAGTTTGTTTAGGTTTTATGAACATATCATGCCACATAGCCTTGCAACATCTGCTTTTGTTTTGCCAATCCCTGTCTACCACGTCCACCTCCTACAAGTATTTCGATAATAAGATGCATCGGCTTTGGTCAGACAGTCAACATATTGAGTTCTAGTTTTATGCAACCCTTACGGGGTTTAGTTTACTTAGGTTTTATTAATATTTTATAAGTTATGTTGCTGCTTTAACGTGCCCCTGATTTGGCCCCTAACTGCCTTCCAACTAGCCGTGCAACATCTTCTCTCGCTTTCGCTAACTCCCCGTCCAGTCTGCTCCGACAGCGCTAACAGTTAACAGTTCAACAAATACCGTATGTTCGGTTCCCACGACATAAATTTATGCATTTTTATTTCAACAACATGGAAAAAATTCAATACAGAAAAGGTACAAGAAAAAATTATATTCAAGCTCGTACACACTCCCACACACACACTCGAATGCACCCACACATGTTTGAAAATATTTTTGCATTTTAGTAGCAAAGCCAATAGCAATGAAATTTGTTGCTCTACTTAGTCGACAACGGAAATAGTTGGAAAAAGTTGCACAACAATACATTGGCATTTTTGAAATAAAATATATTTGTTGGCCATGCATCAATGCTTTGCATTGTCAGGATGTCCGAGGAACTCGTTCTACCCCCAAAAAATGTGTTTTTGAAGCCAGTCCAACGACAAGCCAACGACGATAAGGTTCCGCTTCATTGCACTTGATGCAACAATCCATTGGTCTTAGAGCTAATCAACTGCACTGCGCTGGGAATGGGAATGGGAATAGGAATGGGAGGCAGAGCCAAACCCTGGCCCACCACAACCGAATACGTGTACTAAATGCTGTAGTGGATTTTGAGCACTAAATATTTGCTGACCCGCACAACCCTCGTCGGGTCCACTTGGTCTTGCACGAAGACAACATTTGCATGCACGCATTTGCATCAGCAATCAACATGGAAATCAATCAACCGCAAAGCGGCAGGAAAATGCCGGTACGGGACTGGATGTTGTTGGTAGTCCGTAGCGCCACGGACTTCGGAATGCCCCGGCGGCTGAGCAACTCAGCGTTCAAGTGTTTCCTTTGGGTGCACAGACAAACCAATAACACAAGACCCATAACTAATAACTGTTAACCTTTATACGACCATCCAGTCATCCATCTTTCCGTATGCAATGAATCTATTAACCAAAATGTTGAATATTTCCAAGGGCGAAGTTGTGGGGCCTTAATAGTAAATCCAAATTGAGCGTCGTTTACAAATTTGATGAAAAATAGTTAAAATTTCAATATCAGTAGTTGATCACTTTATTGGTAGTATATGGTCAGAAATATGTGTTTGAGTATTCCTAAAAACCTAGTTTTCTTAGGATCTTTTGGAGAATATAAAGGCTTTCCAAAAATTTATAAAATGAAAATACACAGTTTCATGTTATGGATTAATGGAAAGATATTCGCATATATTTATATTTTATATACAACTTCAAACGGAAATCTTCGGCGGCTGAATGAATAAATTCTGAAATTCTGTTCTTGACTGAAGTTCTTTTTTTATAGATAGGTTGAAAATACATATTGATTGTTAAAAAAAAATTATATCTATTGCCTAATTTGTCGCTTTGATGATACGGTAAAAAAAAGATATAAAAAGATATGTCAATCTCGAGCAGTATTTGGAATAACTTTTAGTGAAGACATGCTTTTGAAAATCAACAAATAGTTTGGCTAAATCTATGATCTATGATAATTTCGATGAGAAATGTAATAGACTTCCATGTTCTATTTTTAATTTGAAGCATATGTATTGCACATACTATAATTATGTTCGTTTAATGCCAATCGCTCATATAGGGGTTAAGAGGAGGGCTCCGAATAAACAGGCAGTAGGCACTCGACCACAACCAATTACAGAAATTTACGCAAAGACTGTGCGGCATATCCTTGCGGGTGAGCAGGCGCCGTCGTCATTAATAAACATGAGTAACTGATAGTGCGTACATTAGACAATGGGTGGGTGAATGGTTTTGGGGGTAATAGGTGGCCTGAAACCTAGCTGCCGCCTAACAAAACAAACCCCAAGTACAATTGTAGGCCCCAGACCTAATCGAAGCCGCAGCCGCAAATCGGCGGCGCTTTTGATAGATTGCGCGCAGGTTGTTCTGTCCCGAGCCAGAGCCAAAGTCAGACACAGAGTCAGAAACAGAGCCAAAGCCGGGGCTCATTACCATTGCTGATTGGTGCGGCGGGTCTCGGATCTCACGTGTGTGGTCGCGTCCATCTTGGAGTTGTGTGTACTCACAGCTGGCGCACTAAACGCCAGCTCCTATATATGTATATACTATATATACAAAGACAGTATGTATTTTTTAGCATTGTTGTTGGCATATATTTGTGCCATTCGTCTGCTGAGCATAACAAATTATCTTGTTGTGGGCCTCGTTAACGAACTTGTTTCACCGACCATCCGACCGCCTGACTGCCCGCTCGTCCGCCGGATCGACTGGCCGGCCAGTCGGTAGTTTGTTGGTCCAGTAGCAGGAAATGGAAGAAACAGACCCCGCCGCCGTCCTCATCATCATCATCATCGGTGTCTGAATGAAAACCATGTTGTCTGCCGGCTTTGTTGTTGGCCAGCTCGATGTTCAGCTGTTTGCCTGAATTTATTTAAATGTGTAAATATCTGCATGTCTGCCATATTTCATTCGACCGTAGGCGCGCTGAAATGTCGGCCGATTGCTTTCGATGCGAATGAGAAAACACACACACACACATCTATATACACAAACATACAAATTCAAATTGATAATGTTAAACGTTAAAGCGCAGCACTCGACGCTTTTAAATGCCGAATAAATTGCCATTGAAAATGTCTGAAATAAACGCGTTGAGTCGCCGTTGAAAAGTGGCTTATGGCCAGCCCGATTGTAGGTAGGTAGCGCATGATAAATGCCTCCCATTTAACAATTCGAGGTCAAGTGGTTCTGTGGTCGTCTAGGGCTGGCTGCCTGGCTAGCGTTTTAAATGCAGCCTCCACTGGGCGGACATTTTCAAGATGGGTGTGGCAAGAGATAGATGTGCCGGACAAAAGGAATAAAAAGAAAATGAATTTAGTGCCGAAGAAAAAAGTCAAGCACCAAGAGGAGAGAAACTTAAACATATGTCTTAGATAAGGAATGTGTGGCGTTAGAGCATCTGAACTCAAACTTTGTTGAATTTTAAAAAAGGAGCTGAAAGGAAACGGTTTTTTCTATTTTTTAAATACAAGTTAAAACTTTTGTCAGTATTTCTAATAAAAAGCAATATTTCCTAACAAAGAACTGCACGTTGTCTTGTTTTAATTTAAAGTTTTAAAAATCAAGAAATAGTACATTTCGCCAAAATGAAAGCTGATTTCCCAGCGAGCAAAAAAAAACTCAAACCTTGCCACCAAATTTGCATGCAACACGACGGCTTTGTTCCCAATTAATTATTAATTATTAATCCAACTGCCTACTATATAAGTTTAGAATATTAATGCCATTTTAATCAAATTTGCAGTAATTTATAAAATCACAAAGCATTATAATATTTAAATAAATTATATAATTTTAAATAAATATTATTCTTCTACATCATACAAATTCTTTTAAAAATACATATGTTTAGCTTTTGAAAGCTCCAACAACCGTCAAATATGCCATATTTGTACCTTTAGCAATTTTTATGGGCAGAGTCAAAACTGTGAAGTAAAATTGGATATTTATTGCCGGAAAACTCGCCCAGCTAATAATTACTTTAGTCATCAACCTGCTGTAACCTGCAACTCTGCGCAACTCTCTAAACCAATTTCAAAATTAATTGCCAGGCAAGGCAAGGCGCGCATACGAAACACCCAAACACTTTTACTTTCCAGCCCAAGACATGATGTCTGTCAAGACCCACACACATTGCCACTGCAATGAAAAACCACTTTCAACATGCGTTCGGATCAGTGGCAGATGCAGATTCCGATTCAGATGTGTTGGGGCAGTGGAAAACCTGATATGAATGCTTGCAGTCCAAATTGTTGTCGGTGGCTGTCTTTGTGTCTAACGCGTTGTATGGTAAGCCGTTAAAACGACGGCCTAAAACAGTGGCCAACACGATCAACTAAACACCAAATGCTCAAAATGCATGTTATTTAGTCTACTACTGGTTGTGAATTGTGGCAGCAGCTCGAACAGTGGTTTTGTTTCAATTTCAATAAATT